TTTTGTTTGGCTGGAAACCACAGGTGTGGGTTCAATTCCAGATCTGAAGGGCAGCTAGGGGCCATAGTCTCAGTGGTTCCACCAGGCTCCATCGGACCAGCAAACCTGGTCCCTACCTTTTTAAACTTTGATAATTCTTTTAAGTATTTTGTAGTATCTTGAAACAATAGGGGAAATCTATCACTGCACAAGGCCATATAATCAACATGGTATAGCATTGTTCTAGGCACTGTGTACTGTAATGGTTAAGACAGCCCTGAGTTTCAATACCAGCTCTGACTCTGTGTGTTTTGAGAAAGGTGCCTAACTTCATTTACTCTCATTTTATCCCTTATAAAATAGTGGTAACTACAGTCCCTACCTCATAGGGTTGAGTTGTGGGGATGAAGTAAGATTACATATATAAAAGTATTTGGAATAATATCCGATACCTGGTATAATGCTACTGTTTTTTCTTATGAATCATTTGGGAAAACAATGACTATGCCGATTAGTGGAGTTTACCAGAATTAAGTCCCATGATACAAAAATAAAAGTATGCCATCTTAGTCATGTGATAAATTCTGGGAGGGAAACTATTTTGTGGCTAGCATTTTGTGAGTTAGCAACAGTATTACTATAAATGACAGCTGCTATTATACAGCATTTACTATGACAAGTACATTTCTAAGGGCTTTAGAACTATTCTAAGCCTCTAATTGTTGTGACAGCCTCCATATGGACGCCACCAACCCCATCCACATTTTAAAGAAATGTGTCATGCTATGAGTAGAAGTTTAGTGGTATCTTGATTTAATGCCCCACCTTGAGCATTTTCTCATCAAAAATTGGAGTCATGGCATAAGGCATGATGTAATTCTGAAGAGACTTGGAAGATAGCACAATTTTGCCTTCCATTAGTTGTTTTGCCAGTTTCTTCAAGGCTCGTGCTCTTCTGTGAATCTATGAGTTAGACAAAATATGAATTATTGAAAAATCTCACAAGTCGCACTCCAGTATCATGTTCTTTTCCCATGAAAATATTAAAGAAGTGAAACACAGTCCTTGGGTTACATGAGCAAACAAAACACCTGTGCTGTGCTTTGCTTCCAGAGACATAATCCATAGCATTTGTGTAACAATGGATTCTAAAGAGTTTAAACTTTTTAGAAAAAGGCAGAGAAATGTGACACTATTATTAATTACAGCTTGTGACACCACCAAAGAAATGAGGCCCCAGTAAGCGATCACATTCTATGCAACTATGACAATGCTCTTGAAGACCCTGGTGCGGAAGGCTTTACAATTTTTGGTAAATTAAAATTCAAATATGCTTTTGAAAATGAGGCAAAATTGGTTGAAACGCTCATCATGCAGGCAAAAAGAAAGCAGAATTGTCTTTTACCTGAATGTGCTTCATGTTCTCAAAGAAGTCCATTTCTGGATCATGGTAATCAGTAAGCTGCACCAAGTCTTTAAATTCCAGTTGGTCTGGAAAGGTTTGAATTAAACAGGAAAGCAGTGTGGTATAATCCTGTTGAATACTCTGAAAAGAGCAAGTTGAGAATATTTTTAGTTTTAAAACAAATTAGCAATTTGTTAACACACACACACACACAACACCAAAATTTACAAAAAGATATATATATTTAATTGTGATTTGGGTGAAAGTTTACAGAGCAAATTCACTTTCCATACAGCAGCTTACATACACTTTGTTTCATGACATTGACTGCAATTTCCCACAATGCAACAGCTCTCCCTCCACTTCCTCCCCATAGTTACCTCTTCCCTGTGTCTTTCCCTCCATGCACTTCTGCCCCGAGCTGTCTCTCCGTGCATACACAACCCTTCTATTCTCCCATGATTGTTCTCTCCAAAGAGTGTATCTACCTAGTGTAAATGTTCAGCTCATATGTTTGTCTTAAGCCATAGGAGTGGGTTCAATTCCAGACCTGAAGGGCAAGCTAGGGGCCATAGTCTCAGGGGTTCCATCAGGCTCTATCAGACCAGCAAACCTGGTCTCCCCCTGCCTCCCTTTTTTTTTTTATGATTTTGAGTTTTGTTCCACATTGTTCTCCCACTCAATCTAGACAACCATATCCCTTGTCAGCTCTATTATACACCTGGGAATTCTTAAAGAACATAGCAATACACTTGTAGAAACATTATCTGTCAACCTTATACATGGTCTTGGGCACACTCCCTCCCGCATGCTGTTGTTATGTGCCATCGAGTTGGACCCAACTCATAGTGACCCCTCTTTGGGTTTCCTAGGCAGTATCACTACGGAAGTAGATTGCCCAACCTTCCTTCCGAGGAGTGACTTGTGGGTTTGAACCGCCAGCCTTCTGGTTAGCAGTCAAGTGCCTTAGGCACTATGCTACCAGAGTCCAGCCTGTCCACATCTATCCACCTGTATACCCATGTTTGCCTTCACTGACAACACAGTATGTGTGTGTGTAAAAGGGTTCATCTTTGTTGTCTGTGTCTCCCATGCACCTCTCTATATCTTCCTCTTCCTCAATGCCACCGTGTAGATCACTCACATTTGGTACACTGCCCTTCTCTTCACCCAAATCAATACTTGTCTCTACCTACCTAACAGTGTTCCCTCTCCTCCTCTCCCACCCCTGGAAACCAACAAAGATATAAACCTAAAAAAATATACATATTTTTTTAAATAAGAGATTTCCACTATAAAAAAGTTAAATAATAATAACTATATACAATCAAAAGTGATTGCTTTCCTTCCCACTCAGACTCCTCCATTAAGAGTTAGGTGAGTATTTCCACAACTAAGAATTTTAATTAAATGTACTGACTCTGACTACTTTTCTGCAAAACAAAACAAAAACAAAAGAGAAACAAAATACCCTTCAGACATCAGAACTTCAAAGACAAATCTACCATGACAAATCCTTTACCTCTGTCTGGCTCTTCAAACCTTTTCTCAGTTTCTCCAGGAGTGAACGATGAATGATTTCTCTATATTCTTTCTCTGTGAAGTTCAAGGTAGCTAGCCTTTTGATGATACTCATCAAGCACACACTGGCATTATCACTTAAAGACATGTCTCCTAACTGGAAATAGGAGTAAACAAATTACTCTGTTTAGTAACTATAAAATGCAGTATTATGTGCCAATGAGAGAGGGTTTACAAAAATTTACACAGCTCCGTGCAAAAATCACTACACAGAAATGTACAAGTACTTCATACATCAGGAAGAACCACATCACTAAAAGCAGTTTTCAATATTTGATTTCAGGTCATCATTACTGACGATGACTGAGAGTTGGCCTGTATAGTTCTGGTGAATGGCTCCAGTTTCTGGCTGGAGTAAGGTAAGTAGTGAGTAAAACAAAGTGTTATCAACTCAGCCAACCAGGTGATTCTGAATCCCTTAGGTTGGAATCTGACATGACATATGAAGAATGAGCCCCAAACTAAGAATCGTTAAAATCTGATGAATAACTAGAAAATGCCACAAGAGATTACTAATGCCACTACATGGATTTTATTTTTCTCATTTTTGGTTTTTATTTCAATTCAGTAACATGACACTTAAAAGACTCCATTTCTACCATATCAATAAAAAAGGGCAAAATTTCAAATAATATCTTATGTTACATAACAATTTTATCAAGATAAAACTCACATACCATAAAAACCACCTTTTTAAAGTTGCACAATTCAATGGTTTTTAATATAGTCACAAGGCTGTGGCATTGTCACCACTATTGAATTCCATTTCATTATCCCAAAAAGGAAACCTTGCTCCCATCAGCAGTCACTCCCACTCCTCACTTACTGTTGCCCCCAGTAGCCATTACTCCATTCTCATGCAGAACTTCCTTGGCTTTTTAAAGCGCTTCCACATATATTATTTTATTTGAAAAATTTGTCTTTCAAATCATGAAAATAACAAATATTCTTTGTCAAACAAAAAATGCTGCAACTAAAAAAATGTTGGACTGAAACTCTTGTACCCATCAAAAAAAAAAAAAAAAGAAAGAATAAAACAAAAACACCTTTGGAGAAATGAAGCTGTGAAGTTGTATTACCAAAACAATCAAAAGTGATTGATAATTTCTTGCTATAAAGACCTACCTCCAGATTATAGAAACAATTGTGCATAACTGGAATTAGGTAATCAACATCTACAGTTTGCATTTCTTTGATGTAAGACGTGATGGTCTGGAACATTGAGAAGCGAACATCAAAGTTGATATCATCAAGATGTCTTTGATCAAAGGCGTTAAGCTACAAAAAATACCATTAAAACCATGTAAATTAAGGTGTATAAATCTTTAAAGCAACAGAAATGATAAAACTTTTTAAACAAAAGAGAAAAATTTCTTTCTTACCTTGACAACATCAGTAATATACTTTAATCCACTCTCAAAATCAGAAAGATACTACAAGGAAAGAAAGCACTATATTACTAATGAATAAAACTTTAATTTTTATGCCCTCCTCTTGTCACTGCCCTGCCCCCCACACAACTTCATACAGAAACACCATACGGGCACCAAGAGAGTTATCAATATGCTTTACATGTTATAGTTACTGCCTAAGGAAAGAGATGATTTGGGGTCAAAAAAATCATTACAGACCTGGAAAACTGCACAAAGCAATTGTCTTGACAATTTATTCTTAGTAACTGAGAACAGTCTTGCCAGAGGCTTAAGGAAGCTTGTGGGGTCCAAGCAATGTTTTAACAAGTTTTGTACGGTCACCAGAATATCAACCTCTGTCTCCTGAAGAAGAAAAATTAAGAAAAATTTTATTTCAGTAACTTATAAAGCTGGTTAACTTATACTTTATTACAGCACAGGAAACAACTGAGGATAAGAAATCCTGCTAATTGCAAAATTACTTCATAGTCTCGTATTTAACATTTTAACTTAACAAAAACTCACACTAACGTCAGTAGCAGTTTCTTAATTCTAACAGAGAATATGCATGATTTAAAAGCATAATTTTGCCTACTGTTAGTGAAAAGCAGCCAACAAAATGAAGGTGGTGAAGAAAAATATACACTGGCTGTCTTCAGCTTGTGGTCTTTTAAACTGAATTACTGGTAAGAGATGCTCAGTATAGCTACTGAGGCCTTCGAAAGGCGCTTGAGCTACTGGAGGCTCTTCTAACCAGGTTTAAGCTGGGGTTTGAAAATCATAACCAGAAACTCTTCGCTATGCCAGAACATTAAAACAGTCTGACTTTTCATTCAAGTTTCGCCATTGTAAGCCACATTTAAGATTATGCAGCGTACTTTTTGGGTTCTAGATTTGTTACTGATGACAGTCACAGAAAGAAATAAACAAACTCTGAAATGCATTAGAAGCTAAACAAAGAGAAAGCTGAATCCTTTCCCTGTTAGGGAAGTTGACAACGCACAGTCTAACACCCATCTCCACCCCAATCTTTCCCCTCCATTTTCAATTTCATATTTCTGTATGATGTCTTTTAAGTTCTTTGGGACAAATGCACCACAGAATCTAACCAATAAAGTATTGCTCGCAAACACACCTAGTGGCAAAGCGCCACTTGGAAGACAAAGTGCATGAATTTGTACCTGAGCAATATTGGCACGGTGGAGGAAAGGAAGCAGAAGTGTAATGAGTAAAGAGCTCTGTTCTTTGTCTTTCATAAACCTGCTGATCCTAATGAGGGAAAACAAAGATTTGTAAGATATGCAACTGGAGAGTATTTACCTAGGAAATCAAACTTATTATACATATATAAAGAAAAATCATTGACTAAAGACAGTTTTAATGTACCAATGTACAGAAGTGTTAAGTATGTGTGTACGTAGACAAAGTGCAACTCAGTTATTTACCAGGACCCACTCTTATTTCTCCCCAGTGTTAGGCTTATGGCTACTACTTTGATTTCTTTTGCAATATCTGATAGTGGAAGTGGTTTATAAGGCTATGTTGTTGTTGTTGTTATGTGTCGTCGAGTCAAACCCGACTCATAGCGACCCCTCCTTGGGTTTGCGAGGCAGTATCACTACGGAAGTAGGATTGCCCAACCTTCCTTCCGAGGAGTGGCTGGTGGGTTTGAACAGCCAGCCATCTGGTTAGCAGGCAAGTGTCTTAGCCATTATGCTACCAGAGCTCCCTTATAAGGCTATAGTGCTATGTATTATAGTACTACAGTCTGACATTTTTTGCAAGGGAAAAACAACATTTTTCTAAGAGCTTAGACTGTTACCTAAGTGCTTTACATACAGTACGTCAACATAACTCCCACACAAGCCTTGCAGTGTAGGTATGATTAGCTTCCTTTTGCCCAGAGGAAACTGAGACTCAGAGAAACTGATGTCACACGGCTAGTAAGTGCAGATCCCTTAAACCCCGGTCTTCCTGGTGCCCCACGTTTCATTATTTTTTCACTATCCACAGCTTGTGATGAAATGTAATGAGTGTGTTTAGCATGGTTCCCCATTCTATGTAGCTCAGAAAGAAAATAGCATAAGAGATACTGCAAAGGTTTCTGGGGAAGTTCTCATATATCTTTCTTGTTGCTGCTGAAAACAGGACAAAAACGAAAATTTCAGCAACTAAGCTGAGCAGTCAGTTTAGAGTTCAAGAGGAGATGGTTTCTTGCCCTCAGAATCACCAAGCCTGCCCTTTACAGAAATCCCAACTACTTATCACAGGACCTACTGCCAGACTCTTTGAAAAAACGCTGTAAGACTTCTTCCTTAAAAAACCAACCATGCTGCCCTTTTAAATTTTTCTTTATCAATGAAGCTAAAGAGAAAAAAACAAAACAAAACAAAACTATGGGATCTCACACAACTCAAAACTTAAACTAAATTTGCAAAGGCTATCCTAGTTGTTCCCTTTAATAAAATGAAATGAAGGCAGACACCATAAAAGGTCCCTAATGAACACTGCAGCAGAGAAACAAGATTCTACATTAAAGGTGAGGGGCATTTAAGGTGAGAAATTGCAGTCAATGTCATGAGGCAAAGTTGTATGTAAGCTGCTATATGGAAAGTGAATTTGTTCTATAAACTTTAACCCAAATCACAATAAAAAGTAAAAAAAAAAAAAAAAGTGAGGGGCATTTAAAATCTGAAAACCTTTTTCTTCTTAGAACTGTGCTCAAAAAATTGAAAAATAAGTTATAATTATTAAAAAATTATAAAATTCTAAACCATGGGTGGTATTTTTTTCAGAAGTTCCAGTATGTCACTTACTTGGAAAGAATGCCAAGTTCCTTGCTGACTTGGGCCTTATTCTTTTTCTTTTTCACCTTTTCTGCACTTATTGTGGTTTTGCTGAGATACTGAAGAATTACAGGTACGTGAGGTAGGATCAATCTTCCTCCTAGTGTGAGAGACTCTGAAATAGATAGTGATTAAAGTCTTGATTTTAATTAAACACTCTTCTAAAGCACAATTATATCTTCATAAAGACAGATAAAGGAACCACTCAACTGCTATGAAAATGTAATTACATTTCAACTCTAAAAATGAAATTATTTTCTTCTTAATCAAAATAGCTGTATCACTAAGTTAAGAATGTATACAAGGATTCATTTACACCAATTTTGGTAGTTGTTGTTATGTGCCTTTGAGTTGGACCCAACTCATAGTGACCCCTCTTTGGGTTGCCGAGGCAGTATCACTACGGAAGTAGATTGCCCCACATTCCTTCTGAGGAGTGGCTGGTGGCTTTGAACCGCCAGCCTTCTGGTAGCAGTCAAGTGCCTTAGCCACTATGCTACCAGAGCTCCCAATTTTGGTAGTAGAAAAGAAAGGGACAACATGGTGGGAAGAATTCAGAGACTGAATCACCTGACAACTGCCTGGAGGGGAGGTGAAACCTCCCAGAAAATTCAATTTATATAAATTAGTATTAATCTCCAGAGAAAAGAACACTCCTGAGCATAGGCTATTACGAGTCAAATCCCGTTGATCATTCTCCTTTCAGACGGAACAAGCAGCTCCTCAGAAGCCTAAGAATCATCTGCTCTGTACAGCACACATACCATCTGCATGTCCTGCTCCATCAGTGTAGACACATCCTGTCACTGGCAAGCTCAAAACTGTTTCTGTGGGCTCAAAATCTGGAAGGTTAAGAAGGTCATCAGCTATTTCCATCACGATACTGGCTGTGGCTTCAGAGAGATTCTTTGCTGAGAGAATTGCAAAAACATTGGTCAAAATATCACACTCTGGGTGCCCAGGTTTCTGTTTAGCCAGAAGAGGGAAATATCTGCAAGAAAAATATTGTACTCATCATCTTATTTCTTAATACACTTCTTTAAAAAAATGTTTCATACGAACTTTTATATTGAGTTTAACAAATACACACACATATACACTTGTGTGTGCATATGTGTTTGTGTGCATGTATATATACAGTGAAACCTGTGAAAGCCAGAATGTGTGTAAGGTGGACACCTGTCAGAGAAGGAAAATGCAAACATTTTCTACTGAAATAAGAGATAGAAAAGGGGCAAGACTACAGCTTGCCAAAGGTGGAACACTGTGAGACTCAGAAACACAAGGCAGTCCTGCTGAGTTCCGGCTCTCACAGGTTTCACGGCATATGCACATGTATCATGCACTTATACATAAGCACACAGACATATACATATTAATTCACAGATTACTCAAAAGGGCAATACTTTAAAATCTAAAATTTGATGGATAATAATTCTAAGCATCTTCCAAACATTATGATATTTAGGTACTTTCTGTATATTTCTCCTTTAATCCTCATAACATCTCTACGAGACAGTATCATTACTCCCACATTACAGATGAAGAAACGGTAAGACAGAGGTTAATAAGTGGTTGCGCTGATATTTGAACCAAGTCTAACTCCAAAGTCTAAACCCTTCCTAAAAGAAACTTTTTGCAGACAGGCTATTTTTCAGTTGTAAGACTTTTAGAATGGGGTTGTCATGAAATGGAACTGACTCGAGCAATGGGCTTGGTGTTTTGGGTTGAGTATGGGCATACAAAAATGACTATATATATGGTTGTATAATTTTTTACCCAAATTTCAAAAGAGCAATATGTACTGAATCTGATGCTTTATAATGTTTTACCTGAAACTCAGAATTGAAAATGATTTGCAGGTTGGACCACATCAATACCAACCTTTTATAAATAAATAACCAAATAAAAAAAAAAAAGAGAGAAAAAGTGAAAAATGAGGGTGTCAATGTCTCCATCTACATCTTTCAAACTTTTCCTATCAGAAGCTCTCTCCAGTGGAACCTTATTCTCTGGGAGGACAGTGCTTTATTCCATGATTAACTATGCTGCCTCTGGTAACAGTCAAAACCAAACCCAACCCACTGCCATCAAGTCGATTCCAACTCATAATGACCCTACAGGATGGAGTAGAACTGCTCCATAGGGTTTTCAAGGCTGTAAATCTTTACAGAAGTAGACTACCTCATCTTTCTCTCGAGGAGTGGCTGGTGGGTTTAAACCACTGATCTTTTGGTTAGCAGCCCAATGCTTTAACCACAGAGCCACCCCAAACTAAAAACAAACCAAACTCACTGCCATCGAGTCAATTCTGACTCATTTCTGACTCAAAGCGGCCCCTCCTTGGGTTTCCAAGGTGGTATCTCTATGGACATAGATTGCCCAACCTTCCTTCTGAGGAGTGGCTAATGGGTTTGAACCATCAGCTTCTGATTAGCAGTCAAATGCCTTAAGCACTACGCCACCAGAGCTCCCAACAGAGCCACCAGTACAATTTAAATGCAAGATCCTAACCTTAGCAAACAGAACACAGCATATGGGCATGCTCAACCCCAAAATTCGAGCCCACTGCTGTCAAGTAAGTTCTGACTCGTGGCAACTCCACGTGTTACAAAGAACTGAGATCTACAGAGTTTTCTTGGCTGCAATCTTTACGAAAGTAAATTGCTAGGATTTCCTTCTGTGGTGCCACTGAGTGGGTTCAAACTGCCCACTTTTTGGTTAGTAGCTGAGCACAAACTGTTTGTGTTGACCAGGGACCTCTGCTCACACTATCTGCCCAATATTTGTTGGACAGAAATGTGTACGAATATAACCTCTTGGAACTTTTCTATCAATCTGTTGGTGCTAAGCATGTTTAAATGCTTGAGCTCTTTTTTGGGTGATAATGAACTAATAAAGCCAAATTCCAAATTTTTTCCAATCTGACCCTTCTAATAATTTTAATGATATTGACTATAGATCAGCTCTTCCTGCATTTATATAAAGTGAAATGCCAGACCTCTGTGTAGATGAAGAACGTGCTTTAATAGTTTATTGAGACTATATGAACTGTAAACACACTTCAGGATAAAAATTTATTTGATCAGAGTAACATCCCCATTAAGTAGTTTACAGTCATTCATTAACTCATTTACACATACCTAAATATCCATACAAATGCTATGGGAATTTCCAGGGAAGTCAACCTTTCTAGAGATTTTTTCCAGATGAGTATTAAACATAAATTCAAAATTAAATAAGGTTTTGATGACCACTTCCTCTGTTGCTATGTGGCTCCAACTTTTCTAACCAAAAAGAGAGAATCTGAGAAAGGGTGTGAGTTGGTATCTACGTATGTGGTTCTATACTGTGGGTTAAAAAACAACCTACCAACCAAACCCATTGCTGTTGAGTTGATTACAACTTATAACAACCCTATAGGACAGTGCACAACTGTTCCCCAGAGTAGATATACCCTTGGAAATCACAGAGTTTCTAAGGCTATTTTCCTGTGGAGCAGTTGGCAGGTTCGAATGCCAACTTTTCTGTTAGCAGTAGAGCGTTTAACCACTGCAACCTGGGCTTCACACCTTGGGTGGTGGTGGTTGTTGCTGGGTGCTGTCAAGTTGGCTCTGACTACTAGTGACCCTATGTACAACAGAAAGAAACAACATCTGGTCATGTGCCATCCTTACAATCCTTGCAATGCTTGAGCCCATCATTCCTGCCACTGTGTCAATCCATGTCATTGAGGGTCTTCCCCTTTTTTGCTGACCCTACACTTTACCAAGGAGCTCTGGTAGCATAGTGCCTAAGGTACTTGACTGCTAACCACAAGGCTGGCGGTTCAAACCCACCAGCCACTCCTCGGAAGGAAGGTTGGACATTCCTACTTCTGTAGTGATACTGCCTCGGAAACCCAAGGAGGGGTTGCTATGAGTAGGGCCAACTCAATGGCAAATAACAACAACA